GGAGTCACCTAACCCGCTCGACCAAAAGGCTCACAATTGAATCCTGAACAAGGATTCAATCGGTTAGGTGATATATATATAGGGTGGTTGCTACCCAGAACCACACTTATATTACTATTATTTTAATTAGTTCTAGAATTAATTTATTTTAAAGTTTTATCTAAATCTAGTTAAGATAGATTATTTATTAAATTTAGTAAATCTATTTTTCTGGTTATATAACTATCTATAAAAAGAAATTAAAAAAGATCTTACAGTAGTAAAAATAAACTATAATAATCTATAATTATACTAAAGTAAGTTAAAAATATAATTAAAAAAACTATTTTATAAAAAAGAACACAAAACTATAAAAAAAAAATTTAAATTCTAATACTAGAGATCTATATATCTGAATAGATATATTAGTATTTTAATAGAAATTCTAAAAAAAGAGAGAATAAAATTAATAATACTAATAATATATAAAGAATATAAATATATAATAATAACTTAAATATACTTTTTATAAAGAGTTTCTATAATAGAAAAAAACTATTAATACTAATTTATAATAAATACTTTTAAAAATAAACTTAATAATATTTTAAGGGAATTGTTATTTGGACCTCACGCTAGTTATTTGGACCTCACATTAAGCCTATATAGGGATGTTAAGCGAGTCATATAATCAAAATACACGCTAGTAAATCCCTTTCAAATATAATATCCTATACAAACCAATATAGATCGGTATACTAAAAAAAATACTTAGAATAGTATGATCGTAGCTACACTATAGAGCTGCTATAAGTAAGACTACCTTACAGTAGTTCTCGCTGATTAGTAGAGACATCCTATATTCCGTACTACAGGCTAACCCTACACTGCCCAGCTACCGCGTGTATGTAAAGGATATAGCGATCCCTACCTTATATAGGAGTCGGGCAACTCTTTACCTCTTATAGTACCCCGCTACTTTCAATTACAATAGATTTTTTTTTAAGAAAAAAAATAATTATTTTTAATATTAATAATATACTAATTAATAGCTAAGGATCTTTCTATTTATTATCTAGATTAGGTAAGTAGCGAGGCTACTATAAACCTTGAAAAGATAATAGATATAGATACATTACTGATATCGCCGGTTAGCCGCTCTTAGAGAGAGGGCCTGGGAGGGAGGGAGAATGCAGTTCTATATTCCTATTCTAGAATAGTCCCGCTTAACTAGTAGTATTACCAATACATAGTATTATGCCTTCCTATATAGGCTTAGCGTGAGGTCCAAATAACAATTCCCTTTTTAAATGGCGGTTGGGGTGGCGGCTCGCTTATTGATAACGCTATTGTATATAGTGATTAGTCAGCCAATCTATACCCCTTATTCAGTCCCACAAAACTACGCTAATGTGTATCACATGATATATGGCCAATTATATCCCACCTTATAATTACATAAGAGCTTCCTATTGGACATTGGGTCACATGACCAGGGCCCACTTGTTTGATCACTTTTGCAACATGTCTCTGTACAGCTGGCAAAATTCATACAAGGAAAAGATATACCAACACATCTGTAGGAATCAGCACAATCTTTTCACACCCTTCCTCCATATGTCTTATATTGACAAAAGTGGGGGTTGGTAAGACCTTAGTAAATACAGGACGTAGTGGAGTGAGCCTCATGTGACAGTTATTCTATTAAATTAGCTAATATTGTTAAATTAATACATGGAACCACAGTATAGGCTATAATCCATTGGCAGTAAAATAAATACCCCCGCCTTATTCCCAACAGGATCGAAAGTCTGCTGTATATCAGACAGGTGGTCTGAAAATATATAGACAAGTTAACTCGATATCAAGTTCCGAGACAACCCATCTATGCAGGGAAAGGAAGTGACGAAGGGGGGAAAGTAAAAATAAATAAAGAACAAGATCGAGCAGGCGGCTAGTAATTGCGAAACAACTATTACTGGTCCTTCCTAGCGTCACCGGCAGCCTTGTTCTCCCTCCGTCGTTTGATTGCCTCTGGGCTGTACTCAGTATCCAGAAGATAATCCCACCACCTGAAGCTGCTAGAATAGTTACCGACAAACTTCTCGTGGTGAAGATCATGGTGGTCAGCGCCCGCCCAGAATGGCAGGAAATGATGGAGACTCCAAGGGAATTCATAACCGCTGTGTGCGTCTATAGCTTGGAACAGCCGCAGTACAATCCAAACGTACATTGTGAAAATGTGCAGGTCACCAGTTACTGCGCACCAGAGGATTGGACAGCCGACAGTACCGAAACCGAGAATCATAACTTCGATTGGAGAAGCATATTCAGCTGCCATGCCAAAGGGGGCCGAATATTGGTGGTGGATCTTGTGAATAGCCTTGTAGAGGGGACCCCAATGAAGTGCTCGGTGCGAGAAGTAGTGCCATGTATCCTCAAGCACGAAGAAGATTGCAATCTGGTAGGCCATTGTCCAAAAGGTGGGGAAAGGAACTGATGTCGAAAGGCCAAAGAATTGAGCCATGGGATGGAATAGCCTGACGACAATATTGTTAGGTGGAAAACTCAAGCATCTAGAAAGATACACACCAGATCTGAGGTAGTTCAACTGTAAAATGGCTCAGTAGGACAAATTTCGCACAATCCCATTGCTCGCGCAATGACGGAATTTTATTCTGCCAACTAGTTAACGAAAGATCTCTTGAGCTGGAAGCAAGATCAACCTACACTTTGGATTTTATAACCCTTGAGCAGGCCCAAGCTGTCTATAAAGATCCAAGGCAGGGAGCGCCCGAAATAGACGATCTCGTGCATAACAAAAGACATGATGCCAGTCGCCAGGACGTCGTTTTGCATCCAAGCATACCATGCTGTCCATAGCCTCTCGAGTACATTTAAGTGAGTATTGTATTTGGAAATTTCTTCAAACTGGCCCCAGTAAGTCTCTGGGGGAGTCGACAATAGCGTCGAATTCCTTTATCGGGTCAATTTAGATATAAAACAACCATTGCAATGACAGAAGCTTACATTGTGTTTACAAACTTGTCCTCAAGGGGCGATTGTCTCGCTTGCAATTGTCTTACCAAGAAATATCAATGTGTATGGCTTTATCGAGGTGGAAAATAGGAGAAAAAGTAGGAAGGGAAGGATTGGTTGTAAGGGAGGAAGCACCGGTGAGAAACTTTGGCTGAAAGGGTCAGAACTTGAAGGGTGTGTGTGGGCGGTATTTCAGGGACGGTGGATAAAGCTGCGCGATCAAGGACCTCCAGTCCCGAGGTGGCGAGACCTTTTTTTCTGCTGTTCCCCTTACCCAGCCCTTGGCTTTTTCTGGCGCCACCGCCTAGCCGATTTGGACCGATGCTGTGCTCCACAAAACGAGTCTCCACTGAATTGGCTGTTGTCCACTAAAATCATATTTATTGTTATTTGATTCAGCGTACTTTGCTACCCCAGGCTCATCCTTATCTATTGCCTCTCCGACACGAAGTTCAGTATCCTGAACCTAGGCTCCGAAGTAAGCGTAGGGAATACAATTCTTAGCGGCCTTGCCGGTCTCGCCTCAGCCTACTACCCATGGCGTGTTCTATGCAAACGTTATCAGATGGCTATTACCCATGTTTATCAATTATTCATCTACCAGAACACGACTCCGCGTGGGAGATAACCTGCCAATCCCTGGATTGATGCAGTCTGTTATAGAATATGTTCAAAATTATGTATCCCAGGAAACTTTAGCACAGATTGGCGGGGTGATAGTTATCTCCGCTAGCAAGCCGCAATTCAGTCTGTACACATCAAAGGAAAAGAAGCTCTGTTTTGAGGTTTTCAAGAATGATCACATGTCCTACCTGCGCCACGGTACATGTTTGCGGCAGTAATGCGACTAGACTCTGAGGCTTTGCTGCCAATCCAGCTAACAGATTGATAATGATACCCCCTGTCAGTCAAAGAGTGAGGCATGTCTCGAAGGCTGAGTTGAGCACTCAAGTGTGCAGCTTTCATATGATACATGCCAGTGCAGTGGCTGCCGTTAACGAGTCATTTCCTCCTTGAGTTGCGTGATACTTGAGATTGTATGTCTATTTAGTAGCGTGGAAGAAAAGATAGGTGTGCGGGCTATCGTGGCAATGAGTATCGCACTCTAGATACACATTTACTTCAATGATGCCATGTTCTATAAGGGTTTTCCAGAGGCGATGACAATTACGGGGGTGGGGAATATTTAAAGACCTGTTATAAAGGACCGCCTGCATTGTAAATACAACCATCGACTATGGAGTGAACTCGGTTAGACATATTAGTACATTAAGCTTAGTTGGAAAGGGACTGCGCTAAGTCCACAAGACCTTTATAATCCTATACATACTGTCGGTTAAGAGATTAGATTGTATGGGTATGCCCCCTTTGATTTTGCTGTATATAATTATATTACATTAAGTGCTGTGAATTGTATATAAAACAGGAAAGCTTATTGCCAGTTAAAGGGTTCTATTGAAGGCCTAGGGGCTTCAGAGGTCGCGAGTTCTGGAGTCTTGAAAATCTCTAATACGTACTTAGTCAAGTACGAGCCTGGGCCCTTTGAGATACGTAACGCTAAGACAAGTCTTGGATACCAAGAATGCTTCTGAGTGCTCTGTATACATATATATAACCAGTTCAGTGCCTCTTATATTGATTGGTATACTTAGGCTGTGGACACAAGGTAAATGGAGTACTACTACTACCTGAAGTACTTTCTACTATACTTATATAGTTCTACCATGGTGTAGGTAAATACCGTCTACTTCTTCTATGTAATAGACTCTTTATAAGCCATGTATAGAGAGGGTGGACATACGGAGTGGAGTATTAACAATACGGGCGCTTGTTTTACCAAGTCCCAAACTTGAAAAAAAAAATGTTATTTACGGTACGGAGTACATACGGAGTACATACCGAGTACAGAGTATTTCTTACATTGTTTAGGTCAGATTAATTGTGACATAATGACGCCATTCACACCTGCAATACAAGCATATTTCTTTTTCCAAAGAAGCCCCCTTCTTTTCTCCGCAGAACACGCTGTATCATAATCATAGGGCAGACCATGTCGGTTATTAATGAGTGAGTCAAAAGATGTATATTATCCCAAGGGCCATTTATCCATGCTAACGAACTGAAAGTGACATCTGCCGCTTAGATACGCAGCTGGATCAAATTAAGCAAGAAATCAACGACTTGCACTTTACCTCACTGGAGACCCATAAACATACGCATGATCTGAACGCCTATACAAAGCACATATCTGATCTAGAAAATGTTATCAGCTCTCTCTCTGTGCCCTCCAAGTTCCGACCGATGCTCCCCGCTGAGCACATTGTGAAATTGACTTTGAAGCTTTTCCGGTCCCCAGGTGATTCACATGGGTTGCTTTCGGATGCGTCCACGGACCGTGAACTAGAAGAACTCACGTGGCTGGCAGTTACGAAAGCTACTGTACAGACTTTAGGGGTGATCTTGAGGTCTCTCCTAGACCGGAGCCTGCTCCTCAGCGATGAAATCTCCTACTGGGACACAATCCTGGGGTCTTATTGGCACATCGGTGTTTATACACTGCAAACATTACCTTTCCGGTTATGGCGCAGGTTGGCCAAGCCTCGCCCTAGCAGGAATGATAGTGGTGCCGAGGCAAGGTTTCCTACGCCTGCCTCAGTACGATGGACACATTTTTACGAGCCCATACAGAGATGCTTTTTTGCAGGAAACTTGCATGCTCTACCGGCGAACGTACTGTCACCGTTTGTAGCAGCCAGGTCTGAGATAAGGCGGAAGCGAGAAAGGCTTAAATTAATGAAGGACCTCAATGCCCATGGTATCGGGCTCCTCATGAGAGAGTGTTTCCCTGCTCAAGCAAATGACGATAATTGTAACTTGACAAGGTGCATCTCCGCCGATGATTACTGGCGTAAGACGGTATGTAGAAGTGTGACCTTGATGGAAATATTCCTGCAGAAATTGCCGAGTGACAGTGGTCTTCTTGATCTTGGGGAAGATATCCTTTCGGCTGCTAACAAGGAGTTTGCGTGTCTCCAAACAGAGTCTGATGGCAAACACTCCATTCAAGCACCTGAACTAGTCGCTAAGCAACTCCAAGATATACTGCTTAGACTCCTTCCTGCCCACAACACCCTCGTATTGGCAAACATTGACAAGCACCGGCGCCCATCGCGTCTAGTGCGATACTGGCTTCCATTATCGATGCTGCTCCTAACGGCGAGCACCTCATTTAAGGTACTGAAGAATCGTCGCCATCAGCTAATCAGATGGGTTGCCAGTGCCGTGGAAACTACAGTTGAATTTTGGAGCAATTGGGTTTTTGACCCAATTCAAAGGCTCATTGGAACTATAAGGCATGATGAGAAAAGCGAGATTGCCTTGATGAGCAAGAACAGCCTAGAGGCCGACCGGGCAAGCTTAGAACGGATGGTAGTCGACTTCATCCTTGATCGGGGCGAACCGAAGCCCGAAGATCATGTGCTTGATATCAGTTCCATCACAAACAAGGTTAGGGAGGGAGATTTAACACCAGTACTGAGAGCGTACGAAAAAGATCTACGGACCCCCTTTGTCGGAACCGTACGAGGTGATCTTGTACGAGCACTTTTGATCCAAATTCAGAAGACGAAGGTAGATGTCGAGATCGCAATTGGCGGTATTGACGCTTTACTGAAGAGCCAGGAGCTCGTTTTCGGGTATATGCTTTATTCAATATATTACAGTAGAATGGGCTAACGGTCGCAGATTTGTTGGCCTCACACCTGGTATCTTGGTCTCGTACGCGTCTCTTCGATGGTTCTGGGGTCTCTTTGGCAATAGAAAGGGACTGAGAATGGGTAGGCGGCAGGATGATTTAAGACATGCACTGCGGTATGTAGTATGTAGTGGTGAAATGTGGGATGTGCTGACCTTGGGCAGGGCTGCTCATCGAACGTTGATATCGCCTACCCCTGCACCTACTGACGTGCTCGCATACCGAGATCATGGTCTTCTGATCTGTGACGCTGAAGTTTTGCTTCAGAAAGCAGAAGCTCTCCTAAGTGGGGCAGAGCTCCGCGCCTTTCGAGAAGATGTCGCTGACCTCATCAACCAGAAAATGGTGGTTCGGCAGCTTGAAATTGTTGGCAGATTGGGTTGGGCCTACTCGAAATGGATGCAATGATGGAGTTCTAGGGACACAATAGCCACGTTTTTGGAGTTGCCCCCGGCGAATAGTCAAGAATCTCAAGCCGCTAATTGCTTTCATTTCAAGGGGCGAGAAGACCCTTTATGGTTTTGGGCCCAAGAGCATATTTAGTTGAAGAGATCCATAACCATTAATCCAGCGTACCAACGTGTAGGTTCAACTTGGATCGCGATCGATCAGGGGGCTGATTAGCATAAAGACGTTTACAAGGTATTGGTTAACACTTTCAGTTGAATGGCATCCTATCACTATTTCCTAGCAAAAAGACCTGGAAAGAGTACTGGCTTTGATACTGCTTGTTACCAGTGATGGCGCTTAATTGGGGATGTTACAGAATAAGAGTATTGAATTAGTGCCTTGCCGTCCGTGTATATTAGTAAGATCTTCCCTCAAGAGAACTATCTCTGGACCTCAAATGCCCCAATCTACAAATCAGTAGCCATGCAATTACTGTGATTGATTATAAAGGCCGGGACCAAAGTACGTATTCTCAGAAATGAGATGGAAGTGTGGGTTATACGGCTTGTATGCACATACATACGTGTCGTATGTCCCTAGCCAGTTTAATACAGTACCAGACTTCAAGGCAAAGTTACAGTCAAAGTACCGGTCGCTCCGCCTATACATACCCATATTATTGTTGTATCCCTAGCTGCTTACTTTAACTCCGTAAATCACCCATCCATTCATCCACCTAGGCACCATTTTGTGCCGCCACTCTCTATCTTCTCTGATAAATGTCAGAACGACCGACACCTAAGATCCCGACCCCAGTATTTCAATATTCCAAGGTTGCATCTCCATAAACAGACCGCCTTCTTTACCGCGGGACGTGATCATATTGCCCACCCTCTCCCCTGATCCGTCGTATAGCGTCCCGAGTCCCTCGATTTCTCTCTAGCCAGCAAGCCTACCTTGCCACCATTTGGTGGCTGCAGCTCTCCTGCAGAAGAATCACTGAAGTGGGAAGAGTCTCAGAGCATCGATCGATAGCCTTTTCGTTTCTCTTGAAGGGTAAGAAAAGAATAAAGGACAGGAGGAAAGATACTGCGGTGGTGCCAGAGAAACTGAGTTTCCCGACAATATCACCAGCCCTTCTGTCAAGAGCTACTATCGTGAGACATTTTTTTTTTTGGCGTAATTGACTTATTCCTCGCTCCCTTGATCTGCGTAGCTCAGACTAACGCTACCTGCGTCTACTCCATCATGGCTGGTACAAGAAACTATGATTTTCTGGTGAGAGTACCACCGTTCTCCTGGTGGGCAACAGGCTAATAGATGACATTTAGATCAAACTTCTGTTGATCGGAGATTCTGGGGTGGGAAAATCATGTTGTTTGTTACGATTCAGCGAAGATTCATTTACCCCGTCCTTCATCACGACCATTGGAATTGACTTCAAGATTCGTACAATCGAACTTGACGGAAAGCGTGTAAAGCTTCAAATATGGGACACAGCTGGACAGGAGCGCTTTAGAACGATTACAACGGCTTACTATAGAGGGGCAATGGGTATACTTCTGGTCTATGATGTCACTGATGAGAGATCATTTCAAAGTAAGGGCTTACTCTCCTGATTCTAGGTTGGAACGTTTTGGCAATGGCACTGACCCTGTTTCCCAGACATCCGCACATGGTTTTCAAACGTCGAACAGCATGCAAGTGAAGGCGTCCATAAAATTCTCATCGGAAATAAATGTGACTGGGAAGAGAAGAGAGCCGTGTCGACTGAACAGGGCCAGCAGCTAGCTGATGAGCTTGGAATACCCTTCCTTGAAGTGTCAGCAAAGAACAATATCAATATCGAGAAAGCCTTCTACAATCTTGCCTCGGAAATTAAGAAAGGCATGGACACATCTAAAACTGAACAGCCTGGTTCGCAAGGTGTCAGCATAGATCAGCAAGGCCCGGGACTGAATGGCAATACAGGAGGCAAATGTTGCTGATGGGCTTGTTAGTATATTCTCTTGCTTTGACCTTTTCGATCCACCTTACAAACCTACTCTTTTTCTCCCTAAACTCCGACAAACAGCTATTCTGCCATGGACTTGAACAAGAACAAGTTAGGGTTTTTATGCTCCAGTGGACGCCGAGAGGCCTAATCTTTTTGCGAAACAGCCTTCATGTATGTCCAAATTGTGGCCGTGGGGCAGGCCGCCGTTCTGTTACGGTCGTTCGAAGTATGTTTGGTGGCATTGTTTAATCTAGTGTTACGCTATACTGGGTATTTGTGTTACAAGAAGTGACTTGCATGTTGTCATCGGGTATCAGCATAATACATCGTGTACTTTGATTTGGCAGAAGGTGCAAGAATGTGCGCTGGTAATGAAAACCTCCTTTGCTGCGTATAGCTTATTGCCTGATAAATGGTGGAGAAAAGAGGGAACAAAGTAGCCACTAGTCCCTTCAATTAAGACCGATAATTATGACGATGTGAAGAGAAGGGTAATGTATAATATACCTTACAAAATAATTTGCTCCAGAGTTCGATGCTGGTTTCTAGGGAACGTTATGCAACAATGACAAGGCCCCACAGTATAGCATAACATCTTTATCGGAAAATGCACTCCGCTTTCACATGTGGACTGGGTACATGGAAATCTTCATTTCCAAGCTTTGGAAGCGGCTTCTGGTGCCAGACACGAGCGAAACGAGCAGCCTCAAAGGAAGTGAGGAAATTAACGCGCCACATTCTCATGAAATTGACGGTTGACTGACTCAGACTGCCCGTACCCTCGAGATTTATTTGGGACAATCCTAACACAGTTGTCGGCTCTATTTGAATAACGGCGTCATCTGTTTCTGGTAAAGCCCATCTTCGGCCTCTCATAATACCATCTAGCTTAAGAAGCTTCCTGATATGATGTGAGTCCAAAGAAGGAAACGAGACGTAATTCAACTGTAGTTTCACAGGGAAGAGCTTGTTTCCAGAGGATTCTGGTTGGCGCAGTCCACTGTGGATCCCAATTGTGTGCTGTAACTTGAAATCGAACGGGAATAGCTGCGCTGCTACAGAAACATTACGTAGTGTTGAACCGAGTGCATAGTTAAAGTGCTCGCTATGTTTGACCCTGCCATTCGTGGATGCTTCGGCTGGCATATCCAATGCTGTCGTTGTAGTAGGAGCCGCTTGCCTAAGATAGAGTTCTTGCAACTCCATGACCCTTTGTTGATATTCCACGGCATAGGCCGGAGAGGTAAAGATTAGGAGCCAAGAATCGGAGCGTTGGAGCGTTTGACGATCCCGTATAGGTAGGACTGGATTCTTATTAGTAAAAGCAACTCGCGCGTTCTATCCTCGTATGTATGGATACACCTTCTTCTAGCCCCTTCAAGCTATAGTCTTTAGATTTTAGCATCCTACGAAAGTCATAGGGAGTCAATGATTGACTCGCTCCCGAAAGTACGAGCGCTGTTCTATGGCCTCGACGACTGCGTTCGCTTGATGTTATCTCCAGCTGCCCACGTTCAATGGTAACACCACAGTCCTCTATTCCCATTACAATGTCCGCGATGCGTGGCGTACTCGGTGGGTTTGTTCCTGAGACATCTTGAAGTTTCCCTGGTTTCTTGGCGGTGGTAATATTTCTTGTAGACACCCCTGAGCTAAGAAGAGAAGTGAATTTTTGAGATAGCTTTGGTGACTCCCAAAGTTGTGATACTAGTCGGCGTGTTGTGGATGCCCATAAATGCCTTCGGCGGCTATAGAACATAACGATTCACTTTGGGTGGAATTTGATGATGGTTATGTTGTTCTAAGCAGGTGAGAAAGAGAGGGGTAGGACCGACATTAGGTAAGGGGACAGCGCTGGACTTGTTTGGATTGATGGATGCTGTACGAGTGGTGGATGTTGGTACCATCTTATAGCTCGAAAACCTATGATTAGATGGATTATCTTGGCCTCTAAGGATTTATAAAGGTACGGGTCGGTGCGGGGCGCTGATCTAAATCCGCGTCCATATGTTAGATAGAAAAAAAAAAAAAAAAGAAAGAGAGGACGAATTTATAAACCACTTGTGGCTTTTACATTACCCTTCTGCCCTTAGATATTCGCGCCGAAAATCTTCTTCCTACTCCTCTTGTTATTATTCATTTATCCCTCTTATTGCTTCTCTGACTTCAAAGCAGCTCAACATCGTTGTGTAGTGAAGACGTATTGCAATGCATGCAGTATAGAGTGTCCAATCATATCTGCTACCAGAATACCTGATACGGGCGTTGACCACAGTTTACATCTTGCAACATTGTATATCATCTGATATCTCACGGATATTATTTGGTCAAGCCCGCACGAAATGTCGGAACCCCGCCTTTTCACAGTTCGACCGCTTTCTAAACAAGCGAGAAATGACCATAAAGATGCGTTTCGCGTTTATTTATCATCGTCGTCGTTGGCTGCCCTAAAGCTTCGGGCTGGGGATACTTGTACCCTGAACTACTCTGGCGAATGTGCGAAGACTGCAATAGCTTGGAGCGCAACCGAAAACATACAAACTACGGTCGTACAGACTTCAAGGACACTTCAGGACTGCTACGGCGTCAAACTTGGCGAGAAGGTATCTATTTCCAAAACCGATGGGCCTTTGGGAGAGATTGAATCAATTTCTTTTGTGGAATGCTCTGATATCGAACGAATGACGAGATATGGCCCCCTCCCGCCATCGGAAAGGCACCATTGGGCCTGGGCTTTGGAGTTTCCTCTTGCTAGATGTGATGCTCTCGCCGTTGGATTGATTTTTGATTTAGAGCTTAAGGGTCAACGAAGAAGCTTCAAAGTAGCAACCATGCGGGCCTTGAATCAAACAACCCATAGCACATTACTGCGGTTCACTGAGAATTCCAAAATCTTGATTGGCGATGATTCAGATGAAGAGAAGGGAGTCCAAGGCTTTGTTATAAAAGTACAGTCGTCTGGCTTGGGTGGAATGGGCCGCCAGATTGATAGTATCAATGAAAGCCTTGCTGATTTCAACATTGGCTCAGGGATGGTGGCAATGCCTGCTTTCTATGAGCACACTCGGGGCGTTCTTCTTTATGGACCAAAGGGGACAGGTAAAACTGCTCTTCTTCGCCAAATACAAGGTGCTGGTTGGCGAAAAGCATTCAACATTGGGTCTTCCACATTCAGCAGGAATATTGGCGATGGTGAAGCTAAGCTACGCAAGCTGTTTCAGGATGCAGTTCGTTGTCAGCCGAGTGTTGTGGTCATTGACCAACTGGACTTCATTGCTCCTAAACGGACATCGCTGGATTCCCAGTCTTTGACATCTGTTCTTTGTGAATGTTTGGACCTTGCGAGAGGTGCTATGGTTCTTGTTGTAGCTGCAACCCGACACCCCAACGAAGTTGATGATACTTTGAGGACGCCACATCGATTGGCGACAGAGATTGAACTACATATTCCTACAGCCTATGACAGAGCCGAAATCTTGCGCGCTATATGCGGATATCAGTCTCCCGTGCTGAGTGACAGGCTCATAGATATGATGGCGGAGAAGACTCACGGCTATGTCGGAGCTGACTTGTTCGCTTTACTTCAGCTTGTTTGTCGCAAGGCGCGCCAGAGACAGATCAAAGAAGCTCATTCGAATAGTTTGCCTTTACGCCAAGCTTCTATGTTTACCAGCGACTCAAGTGATGACTTGGCCACAAAAGAAATTGCGCCTTTAGAAGTCCAGGAGGCCGACGTATTAACGGCTCTACAGGAAACCCGCCCCACTGCGATGCGGGAGGTATTCCTGGAGACACCAAAAGTGAGATGGTCGGATATTGGTGGGCAGCATGATATTAAACGGCGTCTTCAAAAGGCCGTTGAGAGGCCATTGAAAGTGAGTGTCTACATCGATGATTTACAACAATGGAACTGATGACTATAGCATCCCGAACGAATGAGGAGGCTTAATGTAAACAGTAAGAAAGGCATTCTGCTGTACGGGCCGCCGGGTTGCTCTAAGACCCTGACTGTCAAAGCACTTGCTACAGAAGCGGGCCTGAACTTCATGGCCGTAAAAGGTGCTGAAATTCTAAGTATGTACGTTGGGGAGTCGGAACGGGCCCTACGGGATATTTTTCGAAAGGCACGATCTGCGAGGCCTAGTATTATCTTTTTTGACGAAATCGATGCAATTGCCTCAAAGCGCAGTAGTACGTCCCAAGGGGGTGTCAATGTGCTCACAACGTTACTGAACGAGATGGATGGAATTGAAGAGTTGAAGAGTGTCCTAGTCGTCGCCGCGACAAATAAACCGGAGGTAATTGACCCGGCTTTGATGCGCCCGGGCCGTTTGGACAATATCCTTTACATTGGACCCCCGGACTTTGAGGCGCGGAAAGAGATATTGAATATTTGGTGTCGTAAATCCGTTGTTCATCCCGGCGTAAGTTTGGAAGACCTGGCCTGGAAGACTGAAGGCTACTCAGGAGCGGAAATTGTGAGCATTTGCGAGACTGCCGGAGATGCTGCATTGGACGAGGAAGAGGAGACTGGTCAAGCACAAGATATTCGGTGGGAACATTTCGAACTTGCGCTCAAGCAAGTCAAGAGGCAGATCACGGACAGTGTTATCCAGCAGTACGAGCAATGGGGAGAATCAATCGATATTTAGATTGTGGTTACCTCATTATACCACGATTTGGCTAGATTCATGGGCAATGATAAAGTGCGTGGAAGCAACAAGAAAAGGAAGGAAAGAAGAGAGAGAGAAAAAGACACAACCGCTATACCTATATTAGCTGATACTAAGGTCGCTAAGACAGGGGTGAGAATTTGTAAATTGAATGCTTTTCTGGAGCACTGATGGATAAACATACATCGATTTCATCGAAGGACAGAAGTCTGGCCCCAACCTCCATTTTCTCACGAAAACTTGACGCTGTGCAAAGTGGGGAATAGGTCCCGGGCCAATTGGAGCTTAATTGTTAGTCTAGCCAAGATCAGCTAGCTTTAGACATCACATCCATTAGCTTCCTGAATAATTATTCAAATATCGACCCTGTTTGAACTCTTATACTACATTTTTACTATCCCTCAACCGTTAACCCTGAAGCAAACGGGATCACTGACACATTTTTGTGAAGCTACATAACAACAATTATGTCTGCGATGGTTCGAGGTCGCTCGCCAAACCGCTCACCACTTGATGCAGATCCCGAGCAAGCTTCAACCCCAATGAGGCGCACGATGTCCCCCCGTTCAGAGTCCCAACCCGGCAGCAAGCGAAGCCCATCCTTTGATCGTACCCGTCACAGCGGTTACCGCTCCAGGAGCCGGTCTCGCTCTGCTTCGCGATCGAGAATGCTGTCGAGAAGCCGAAGCCGAAGCTGGAGTAGTCGCAGTCGCAGTCGCAGTCGAGGTTCACGACGGTGTAGAGACAGAAGTTACAGCGAAACTCCTAGCCCTTCAGATAGCCTACCAAGGAGCTCAAAAGTCTGTTATTGCTCACTGTTGTCCCGTCTGTGCTCTCTGTATCTGGAGCTTACATATCATAGATTGTTGTTGAGAAACTGACAAAAAATGTAACCGAGTCACACCTTCGAGAAATATTTGGGAGCTTTGGGAGTATAGAGAGTCTAGATCTTCCCATGAACAAAGCTTGTATGTATGGGTAGACCTCCTTATCGCTCTATCGGCCTCCTAACGCACTCTTTCAAGTCATGACAAACCGAGGCACAGCATATATACTTTACGACGATCCAGCGGATGCAGAAGCGGCTATCGCACACATGCACGAGGCCCAACTCGATGGGGCTGTGCTTAATGTCTCTATTGTTCTTCCTCGAAGAGCATTTTCCCGGTCACCGCCACCCCAGAGCGGCAGGGTAAATCCCGGCCGTCAAAGGCACAGCCGTGGACAGCCATCGGACTCTCGTTATTCTCGCCCTTCTCCCTATCCTCCCAGATCGCCTCCCCACCAGAGAAGGTTCGGCCGCACTAGGCCCATGGAAAGGCATGACCTTTATCGCCCACGGACTTTATCTCGATCACGATCGCAACGTCGCTCTCGATCATCGGAACTCAGGTCAGCGTCTCCAACGAGGAGGAGGGGACAGCTGCGCTCTGGTAGCCCGCGACGTGGTAGGCGCCGTAGTCCTAGTTACAGCAGTTTTGACTACAGCAGCCACAGTGACAGAAGTAGAAGTCCCAGCAGGAACAGAGGCCCAGGTCGATATGGTCCGCAAAGGAGGTGAATGGCATGGAGCAACAAGACGAGGTTCCAACTTTCTACTCATTGGATTCTCCACGGGTTATAGGGGATTGAGCAAGTATTGCAACCATTATATCTATGTAATAGTAGAAAGAGTCGATTCAAAGGCTTTGTGCAGGGCATCGTTAGAGACAGTTCCTGCTTGACCAATATGATTTCACTCCTTACACACTAAGAGGGCACTATGCGAAGAGGTAGGTAGAAAATCTGAAATGCAGTATGCTTGTTAGGCTAAGTAGCTCTAGAAGAATGCGCACCAACCAATGTACATCGCGGCGAGGTTCTTTTTATCGGTTGCTTGCACAATTAATTCGTCTACATGGCCATCCACCGACAATGGAACGGATTCCCCCGGTAGAAGACCACGGAGTTTGTTACGAACATTTTCGAGGACACCTGCAGGCGTCTCTGGAACACTAACATGGGTGCGTCGCTTCATTAACAAATTAGCATTGCGGTGGCACTTGAAGAATAAATGTGCTTACTTTCTTCCCAATGAAGTCTGTCGTTGGGTCATGCAAAAATGTCTCGAGTACAGTCATCAGCGCATCCTCATTTTGCCGGAGCAAACCAAGGGTTATTTCGCACGTCTTCCGGAACGGTCCTGTTTATAGGGTTAACCGTGGGTGATACCTGTTAACCATGGACTTGGTCTACACATACCGTCATACCCATAAGCTCCAAATGCGTCCACCATATTTTGAGTGAGACGAAACGGAACTAGTTCGGGTTTATCGAAAGTCAAGCCCTATATTAATGTTCTCTTAACGCGGGACGGAAAGACTGAAGGAATTCAAGTTCTCACCTTGTCAAAAAGGCAGTTGAAATCAACATGCAAAATACCGCCAGTGCCCTCCTCGAATAGAATATTTTCGCCATGTCGATCTCCGAGCCTTCGATGAATGGAAATTAGAGGAGAACATATGCATAACGAGTACAGGCATACCCTAGAACGTATCCAACCATTGACATGACTGCACAAGACCGAGTATAGCGAAGCCTTGCTGCAAACCATGTTCCAGACTCTGGAAACATCTCGACAAACCACTCATGTAGGACTGGTGGAAATCTACATTCACATTAGCCTTACTGCTCGCAATTGCAGGTTATATTGGGGACGTACTTTGGTAGAATCTTGGTAGTAAACAAAGGCAATTTCGAGACCTCGGAACATGCTTCATCGAGATATTGTCCGATTTCTGTGTACTGTGGAAAAGTAAGCTATTCAACCAGATAGAGATGGTAAGGGGTTTCATAATATCTCCTACATTTGGCGCGATGCCCCGTTCCCTCAGCAGCTTGATAACAATATCCCTCAACGTTCGAAGATTATCAACCCATTCAATCAGTCCACATTCCTCATTCAAAGGTGTAACCGCATATGTTTTGATATCTTTTTTCATTCAGCTTTGACAACGCCTTCACGGCTGAGATGGGCACTTACACATGCGTCGTTTGCTTGATTCAACATCCCTTTTAAGGAACCTATTGATCATGTTATTGAACTCCATAAGGCGCTGGTCTTTGCGGAGATCATCTTTGGGCTTGCAGAGGATATTGTAAATCCTTCCATCCGACCCTCGAACGCTGATCTTCCGTGGTTTCTGGAGCGAGTTCAGGACTTGAGCATCGTCAAGAACGGCTAAGCAAAGTTAGACGTGCACGTCGCACTTATGTGCCAGGGAAACAAAGACATGACAATATACCTTCAATAGTGGTTGGGTCTCTAGGGAAAGCCCTAAACCCCTTAAGATACTCTGCATCATGGCTTGTCGGTAGAGTCGGAGTCAGCATTGCTTGAAATGGCACGACAAGTCGACAAGGGGCAACTTTGTGATTGAACCCTAGAGCCCGAGCTAGGTTGATTCTAGAGGCTTTTTCGACGCGCGCTACGCATAACTTTAGCATTTCTTCAGAGAACCTTTGCCCCTGATTTATCATCGCGCGCATATCTGACGGTGTTTCTGTCTTTAACTTCTTGTTTACTTCCTTGTACCTTGTCAGTGCCCAGCGAACCACTCTTTCCATAGGAAACAATACCGTAATTTTTTGAAGACAGTTGATACCCCTGGATGCCCTTTCTTTTGAAGACGACTTGACCACGGCAAGCACTATCCATAGCCCTTCTTGAGGAAAGAAGTTTACCGCCTTGGCGACTATCTTCGTTAACAGGTCATAGACGGTGGTGTTCGGATGGCAGATCCTTGCAACCACCTGAGGAAGAATTGTGAACAGCTGAAACTATTAGTGAATTTCCGAATCTATAAAACACTAGAGAATGCTCACCAGTGCAGCCGGCATCCGGTTGACATATTTCTTTAATTGTGAATGCATATCATCCAGACTCTTTCTCCTTTGCTTCAAAGTGTGTGTTTGAAAGTCTCTGTGCCACATTTTAATTAGCAGCTCTTCACCACCCGAATAAAACCTGACCATGAATGAAACTGAATAGATCGAAGGACAGATACTCCACTTACTCATTATTACCCCTCTTTGGATCAAAGGGCTGATCCACAGTAGACGCATGCTCCAGCCAAAGGGTGAGAACCTTGGGCAATGACTGAAAAACGTATTTGTTCCCGTGTGCTAGCGATCGGAGATAGTTGTCAATCACCAGTTTAGAAGCCTCACCGCTCAAACTAAGAATAGTTAGTATATAATAAAGAAGTCAGATGAGACATAAGAGAGCAAGGGGACTCACTATATCTGTGCTTCTTTCCCTAGTGGCTTGGCTTTCTCCGAATCTAAGATCTTGTTGTAGTGCTTTCCTAGGTAATAATGGGCCTTTTCCCACCTGATAGTAGTTAGTATGGGGTCGGCCTTAGGAAAGATTGTCAGAGTACCTTGAATGTAGGTAGATGGCCTCTCGGTACCTCTGTACTATGACATCAGACTGTGTCTGCCCGGCTCTGTCTGTCCATTTCGCTAACAAAAGATGAGCCTGAACCCCTTATATTAGTGATGACATTCCGCACAAAGTAAAAGAGATTGAGATACTACCCTGGCGGCAAGTAGGTTTTGGTGTTTTTCACGATTCGAGTCAGAGCCATCAGGCGTATTCTCTGGAGCAAACTCATTGGCAGCTATTGCGCCTTCCAACGTTTGTATTGCTTTACGATGGTAACCATCCTTCCACAGAAGCCTAGCATGCTCAATAGTGGCTGACCTATTTTTCAAACCAGCCGCATGAAGCATCGACTGATATGCTTGGTTAGTGAAATTTCCCTTGCGCAAAAGGCGAGTACTGGCAAGCCAGGCATCAGCTATGTCTGAATTGGGGAAGTTGCCCCTTATACATGCGTTAGTGTTAGACTTTATCCATTCAGCAAAACTATGACGAGAGCAACATACGTCAATTCCATCATAGCTCTCCTTAGACCAAGAAGGTATTGCTTGTCAGATATATGCCCTCCTAGAATGTCTAAACGGCGGCTCAGAGAAGCGCGGATTTTGGGAAGCGTATCCTTCTCGCTTCGTAGGTCTAAGCCAGCTATAGATTCCATCTCTGCTAAGGCGTGCAGCCTAAGGATACTGTCATGACACGACTGCAATGATGCCACAGAATTGGCATTGAGTGATTTTGCAACACCGAGTCGCAGGCCACAGATAATATCCCCAAATCTGTCATTACTTCCCTGACGCATGGCATCAAGCGCCAAGCCGACCCCGATGTTAAAATCCCCTGTTCCTTGTTGTGAGCAAAGCTGAAGATAACTGCGCAACTTCTCCCATTTTCCTGTGATCCAAGATGCCTCGATTGCAAACGGGACAAACCTAGAGCCCGGGTCAGTCGTTCGGAGGATCTCAAATCGTGTAAGAATGGCATCTGTGTCTGGGGTGAGCAAACTGCTAGGTCAATAATAATTCGCCAAAATACCTTGTTGTCCTGATTCTTTAAGACATGTGAGAAGATTCCACTGGGCATCGATATTGTTAGGCTCCTTCTCGAGTTGTAGCTCATACCAACTTTGTGCAGTAGCCCATCTTCCTGCCTTGCGATGTTCAAGCACCTGTTGGTCAATGTTAAGTGCATGAAGGTGATTTGATATGCCCTCAATGCCGTCTGGCTCATCGATTTGACTATATATATCTTGAAGACGCTGGAAAAGAGGTTCAATATCCTTAGAGTCTGTCTGTTTGTTCCTAGACTGACGAATATATTGTTCCCAGTGAAAAAGCGCTCTTGAGAATGATCTACACTCAACAGCCCTTTTAGAAATGACCTCGGGAGGTATAGAAGCTAGCAGGGATTCAACAGCCTTAACTTGGGATGCATCTGTATCCAAACGTGAATCCGGGCAAGCCTCCCTGTGGGAGCGGCTTGAGTGATAGTTATGGCTCCTAAGACTGTTAAGCTGCTTTTTCTTCCCTTGTAGCCATCTCGAAAGGTAGTCGAAAATTTCGAAAATGCTCTATACATAGAGTAAGAAGAACTTAATTCAGTGCCCATAGACCTCTCCGATGTTCCGTACGGAGCACTTACCTGACTGCACAATAGAATAGCTTCGTATATATGGTTAGTGGAGTCTGGAAGTGGGTGAGATAGAACGCTTGTCAGTTCGTAAAGCAAATCTTCCTTTTCTTTCTGAGTGCCTCCAACTATACGGTTCAGCACTGCAAATGGCAGAAGAAAGGATGCTATAGATATGTCCTGGCCTTTTACAATGCGACTAGATACACTGAACACAAGCCTCGCATTGTCACCACTCCCCTTCTGCAGCAGATCCTGCACAAAAGTCCGCAGCCACTCACCATGCGTTAGAGTGGCCGAGAATAATGGGTAAGTGCAGCTTGAGTTAACAGCGCCGACGGTGACCGTATACTTGGATGTGAGAAAGGGGGTCAAAGTGTTGCGAACCGTCTCAGGAAGCTCTGACCAACGTTCATACTTCTTATCTGCCTGAACATCGCGAGAGCGCTGAGTAACAGCTGAATCAAGACCACAGAATCTGAGTAAATTTTGCATAGCGTACGCAAGAAATCCCTGGGCCCTGGTATTAGATGCCGACAAAAACGCCTCGACAAGCACGTGTTGGAGAAAAAAAAGTATGAAGTCAAATGTCTCTTCCATGCTATCAAAATTTGATAAGACAAGTATATCTTTCTTTTCTTTGATTGAATCAACCCGATTTGGATCCAAGCAGCCGATAAGGCCTATGCACCGAGCTGATAGAAGAGTTATGACATCCGAACTTGTGTTGAACTTTACACAGCAGTCGAGCAAAGACCGAATTAACTGAGCAACGACAGGGTCTGGTTGCTCGCCAAGAACAGTGTGATGAATGAACTCATCGTGCTCTAAGAGGTACGGCACTAGCTCCGTTAGAGCTTGTTCGACGACAGTAGCGTTCTCACTTTGACAACGTCGGACAAATGCCAAGAACTGACTTCGAACGTCCATTCTTCCCTTCAGATCCGTAAGTTCGGATTCAAATTTGGACATCTCTGGAATGGAAGCAAGCGATGGCATGGTGTTGTAAACATCGTGCACTAGTTTACTGTGATTTCTCAGAATGTTCTCGACAAGTTCATAGGCACATTTCCTCGTATCCTCTGTAAACATGTCCCAATATCTGATCACGATTGATAACGTCTGGTCAAGAAGTGGCTCAATGTCTTCGTCGTGCAAGGAGTTGACTAGTACTGCCCATACTGTGAAGGCATCGTTGCACAACTCTTCGATTTCGAAGGCGGACCGCAGGCAGGCACATATCTTCACATTTTAGCATACATATCATATCGTATTGAAAGAGCTGTAGTGGCATTATATAATATACTGACCTGGGGTATCGCACTACCCACATGTCCTTTCGCGACCTTGACCATCTCTCCAATAGCTATGATGTTTCTTCTTTTTTCAACCAAGGGTTGTCTGATTTGGAAATCATTGATAGCATGGGCAAATTCGGTGATTATACCAAGAATATGCTCTTCAATGAAGTAGCCTATCAGATTCGTTCTCCTTGACGCATGCCCTGACTTCCGTGGGACGAGGGCTGCTAGGAGTTGAAGCGCACGATAGAACTGCCTTTATCAGTTCCGAACACCCAGATATTTAAGAGCAGAAATATACCTACCCTTGCTCTTTTCTCATCCCCTGAATCCCCAAGGCACTTGAATAAATGACATGCAATCAAAATCGGTTCGATCCGTACAAGCTCCGCCAAGGTACGACCTTCAAAGGCAGTATCTATTTCTGACAAAGCGGACATTGCCATATCCTGTGGATTTGGCGACGCTTGACTTAACAAGAATGCCAGGATTGCTGCAAGGTTATTTTTCTCTGAACAGATATCGAAGGGGGTTTTAGCATCCTTATAAGTCGCCCCTATCCTAGCAATAATATCTCGCTTCCGTGTTAGCACGAGATGTGGTAGTACATATAGCTCAGTCAACCTGAGGAAATCGTCCACTTTCATTCCCAGCAGATCACAGAGGTGTTCTGCCATGTAAGGACGTGATTGGAAGTTTTTCATTATTGTCACGGAAATAGTCCTCCAAAAAGGCCTGAACAAGCCCGCGGCAGTGACTGAAAGGCGTTGTGCAAGTTTTGAAATCTAGTTATAGATTTTCGTTAGAGTGCTGTTTATAGTTGATAGTAGAGCTTCCCCACATTTGACCCTAGTCAGGAAGGTGATGTGGATGGGATTTACATACTTCAGTATACGCTACCGCACAAACGAAAGGATTTGGATGGCCCAGGTATTCAACTAGGCGAAGAAGGATAATGTTCATCTCTTCATCATTGGAAAGTCTTAGCAATACATGGATGTTAGTCCATGCGACAAAACTGCGGAGAAGTTTAGTACATACGCTGCAAGGCGACAAAGTGTCAATATACATGTTTCATGCAATGACGGTTCTTGTTTTTCTGAGAGGCTTTTTAACCATTCTAAAATGACAACAAAATTGCCGCGACGTGTTTTATTATCAAGGCCATTGCAAATAAAAGCGATTATTGAGTGCCTAGAGATATGTTAGTACCGCATATTCAGAACAGTAGACCAACCGTACCCAGTGACAATCCGCAGTTCTCTGACGGAGCTTCGAAGAGAATGAAGGCAGAACTCGCCGAACACAGAAGAGGCTAGCTGCGAATAAGTCGAATCCGATGTATGCAGCAGTGTTCGTCTTAGCGTGACCATTGCGGCAATTCTGAGGCTTGTGGTACGTGGGAGTCTTGGAATAATGTAGGCCAAGATTTTGCAAAGTTCTTCAATGTTAGGACATTCTCTGCTCGACCCTACACTGTTTTCACCATCACACACATGGCAAAGTAGGGTACCATTCGACGCCATGCCACTCAGTTGTTCTAGTTCCCTAGCCATAGCACACGGTATATTGCCGAGCGTGCTAAGAAGATCGCATTTCCTTTGTTCATCAAGGCTAACAAAGGCATCCCTGCTGCAACGTGAGTTAATCTTTCGAGTGCTATGACTTGCTATGCCAACTTACACAACAGCCGGATACAGGTCACACAAGCCGCCGGGGGATGTGAAACCTATCAATGCAAGTGAAACTGCTATAAGCTGCTGAACTGTGTCTCCAGACTCTGAGTGTGGGCTGACTCGAGGTATACAGCGGCGTTTTGACGCCTGAAGAGTCTCATCCTGAACCGCTGAGCTCGAGAGCTCATGTTGCTGAAACCGGGGGTCTGATTTCGATACAAAGACTTTGAATGGCTCGAGGGAGACAGTTTTTGCACCACCACATTCTAGACTTAGACGGGAGATATTATTGAGAAACCCACGGATCGCAATCTTCCGTACAATAAGCTCAAGTCACACTATGATGAGTCTAACTACAACGGGACAATTACCTGAAGCTGTGTCTCGAGAGTCTGGAAACGGCAAGGCATCTTGGCAAGACCACTAAGTGCTGGAAAAATGGTAGTTCTGAGGCACTGGAAAAGCGCCCTGTTATACTTGACGCGGTTAATGAAGGTGTCCAAAAGCTGGCTTAACTCACTCTGTAAAGTCGAGAATTGGCAAAGTGTATCCATTGCAAAAATGTCCTCCAGGATTCGCAGCAAGCCGTACATTAGTTCGACTTCCGATGGTGAGGATACGCCCTGGTTGCAACATGATCGAATACATATCACGAACTGCAAACTTGCGCTTATTTTGTTTTCTATGAGATCTGGCTGCGGATTCTGGAGCCAATGAAAAATGAGGGTCCAGAGACGCTGGTACCCATTCAAAACCCAGGCTACATTCTGTCGAATAACGCAGTTCTTGCTTGCCACAAAAGGAGGGTTGTCATTCCCCGCTCTGAATGAATCGAGGAGGCGAAAAGTTAGATTGAAAGCGTGCGATAATGATACGAGCTTGAATTTCTTCTTGAAAAGACTGCGAGGTAGGCCGAGTCTGTCTAGATCTACAAGGAGATTTCCTTCTAGGGTCGGTAGAATGATCTTAACTTCGGAGTCAGCTCGCAGATTGAGGCTATTGAGATTCTCGAGAGAAAGCAAGACCTCTGAGGTTCGTTAGCCCAATATCCTTACCGACGGTCCCCAACGTACCCGTTGTGCACGCTTGTAAAAGCCCAGCAGTGGAATGACAAGAGGGCCAAAGCCTAGAGTGCCTATTCTGAGCACAGACTATACTCGTAAGGATACCCCTAGCTTTCCAATTGATAACTTCATTGTTCCAAATACTGAGCAACTGGAGTAACCGTACAACCAACCAGGCGTAGAGCGGCGCATACGTACTTTCCCCCAAAACAGCTGGATCAGGATATTCTGTTAGAGTTTGAGGTGCCTTCTCAATCGATACCAATACAATATCCAAACAATCCAAAACCTGACCTTGAGAATCAGGCTTTGGATCCTTGGTGCACGGTTCCAAGCCTGCTTTCAAAACGATGCATATCAATTTGCTGATATCTGTAACCTTGTCATCAAAATGGAGTTGATTATGTGTGCCTCCTGCAAGTTCTTGACGAAGTAGGGAAAATGTCTCTTTGCTCAGGCTGTGTGTCTGGTTCCCTTGGGAAGGGAGGCGCGGTGCTAACTGTGCTGCCAAGGTAATTGGGGGTTGCCAGCTGCCATTCCCTGGAGCTGAATATCGAGACGTCTCGATATCATCAGTCGCCATCTGGGGCACACCTAATCATCTTTGTATGTTAATAGAAAATTCTGAGTTAATGTTGAAATTTGGCGCTGATGAACAGTGGATTTCTACCTGCTTCACGGGGTCGTGTCCCGGGTGTTGACCCGATATCTGACCTGAAACTTACGATCTATGTATTTAATGTGTATTACATGTATTGCAAAATTTCCTGAAAGCCTTGGATGGGTCTCCTTCTATATACTAGTACTGATTTACCTTTTTCTTCTTGAGAGCAACTTCGAGTGCACTAAGCCACAGCTTTAAGCATACATTTATTGATATTTTGTATACGTTTGCTCCTCGGGGGACTGACGTTGTCTATCAGGGAGCGGTCCTGTACAATAAATATTGAATTAGTTGCATCTATTATTTCAGTTACCTGGAGCAGAGGTCGTCGACCCGGGGACTCGTGAGTTGGGATCTCAGGTACTCACGAAAACTCTGAAAACCAGCTCCATTGAGTACAGTAGCGAATAATAGTCTGCGGGCTATGGAGGAAGACTCGAGACACGCTTACTTCATGAAGCAAGCTTTATTGATGGTAATGCTAGCCCCGGCTTCATACACAATACTGAGCAGGTCATCAGATGCTCACACTTCTTTAGGGAGAAAAAGCTCTCGAAGCAGGTGAAACTCCCGTTGGATGTGTCTTAGTATATGACAACCATATAGTCAGTTCTGGAATGAACGACACAAATAGGTCGATGAATGTATGTTGCCCAACTTTCGTGAAAGTTCATTTGTGAGGAAGCCAACTTGATTGTGGACCGTACTAGCAAAGCGAACCTCACCTTTCTTTATCTCCCATAAGGAGATGGGCCTCCAACATTATTGTGAAAGTCAATTGTAGAACTAAGTGTCCTGACTTATTTCATTAGGGTACAAGACACGCGGAGTTTATTGCTATCGAGCAGATGCTCAGAAGCTATCCCAAGTCCTTACTTCGTTCAACAAAACTCTATGTCACGGTCGAACCGTGTGTTATGTGTGCTTCTGCTCTGAGGCAGTACCGAATACAGGCTGTGTATTTTGGCTGCGGTAATGAACGTTTTGGGGGCACGGGAAGCATTCTCTCGCTACACACCGAGTTCGTCACTCTCCAGCCTTGACTCCACTGAATTCCTAACACACATTAGTTTCTCAATAGACCCGCCTTACCCAGTTTATGGTGGGTTGTTCAGTAAAGAAGCCGTAATGCTGCTTCGAAGATTTTATGTTCAAGAGAACGAGAGAGGCAAGTGATTGTCTGCCGTTGTTAAAGACTCGAAGCATTTATTGACTATATGGCAGCACCCAAGCCTCGCCCCAAGAAAAACAGAGAACTAAATACAAGATTTGAGGGTGACACCTGAGAGCTACAACCTTACGGCCTTGGAGGTAGCAGGACTCGGAAGGCCACCGAAGTCACTAGAAAATGGCACTGGCACTGTGGAAAAACCTATCGCTACCATGTGGCTTAGGAGGGCCATGGTTAAGAGGTAAAATGAGAAAGTTCTCATACGCTTATGTTATCCACATCAAACCCAAAGAATAAATATACCAGACCCCGCAAGCTACAGCTCAGCTTGATGATCCATACCAATAATATTTTCACGCAGACCCAGCCTTCGCCAAACGCTCCGCTTCGAGCTCACGCTCAGCTTGCTGATAGTACTTAGCTGTGTCCACGCCATGCTTTATAGAAGTTAGCCCGTGAATAAAAGGAAGATGGCAGAGCAGGAATGGGAAAGAGCCCGACCTGGTCATGGTTTACAATGTTGAACCAGGGAAGAACATGAATGAATAACTCTGAATACCGCGAGTTCCTGGCCGCAACTCCTTGCAGATAAGTAGACACCTTCGAGGTGCCATACAGAGATTCACCTCTCTTGACCTTGTCAACCATCTCTCTTGTATCCATCTCAACTTCCCTCGAATTCTCGGTGAAACCATAGAAGCGATCTAATAGTCATGTAAGACAATGCTCTCCACCGTAGATGAACGCGACAATTGACATACTGCAAGATCTTTGGTAGAGCACATGGAGACCTCCAATGAGGCCGATTGCTGTTGCTAGCCGCATCACAGGGGCGAAACCTCCTCTGCCAACATGAGATGGGCTCACCCTTTCCATAGCCCAGAATGCTAGTGGTGAGGCGGCAGCTGCTCCACCAGCAACAGCATAATCAGAAGGCCTCGCATATCCAAAGACTCGTCTCAGGTGCCTGGAAGCAGTGAGCACTAGTTAATAATTCTAAAATTTCAGCAATCCATACGGGTCGGAATCAATCAACTGCAAGCCGTAGTTAGCAAACGTTCATTCATCCTAAGTTGGGGGAGCTCTCGCACCGGATAGTCGGAATTAGCCCGTTTTGGAGGGGCAAAAACCGTCTTAGGATCAGTGGCCATTGTGACCAAGTCGAATCAGAAGCAAGCTTGTAGTAGTCGTACTGTTAAAGACGACCTTGGTTGCGACGGAGGTGAACTCGGAGAGCACAAGTTGCGCCAAGAGTGGGTTCTTTCCGGTTTTAGACTAGTGATACTGCTTCGGCTTACTAAGGAAAGTCATTGATACCTTGGGGCGAATCATCGATCAGTCCCTGTCGCCAATTAACATAGTAGCTGATTACTACTCAGCTTCGAAACTTGGAAGCCTTGAGTATACAGAGTTGAGGTGGGCTGGACCTACTGCTGTAATGTTAATTACCTGGGGTCATAGTCAAACCCAATGGCGTAAGGCAATACACATTTAAACTCCCAGCTATTGCATGTATAATGTATAGTCATATATGTGTAAGTATACCTAAGATCCACCAGGGCGTTATTTCCAATATTCTTTGTACCGTACAGTATTATGCACCTGGCTAAGGTACAGCCCGGCCATTCGGCGAACGCGTCCCGATGCCCACACGCGTGGAAATGCTTCAAGGCATGCCAAAACACTTCCTCCACTAAAAAGAAAGAAACAAACAATTGTTTCCGCTAAACTTAGACAATGGAACAAGAAAGTCATATACAACAAGGCTTGCCCTCACAAACAGCGAACGATCTCTTTGACTACGATGTCGGCTTGGATGAGTTACTACAGCGCGCCCCAACCGCGTCAAGTATAAATGCACCCAAGCCATCTACTATACCAGGCGATTCTGGGTTAGGTCTTGGGCTTGATGAAGAAGTCAAGGTTACTAGGAAACGACAGCCCGTCGCTAAACTAGATGAAACACGGTGAGTCGGGTCACTCAATAAAAAGTGCAAGCAGAAGTGATCTAACTGCACTCCACTATAAGGTTACTGTCTCAAGCTGGAATACCTAGGTTACGCCGCATGGCCAAACAGAAGTTGAAGTTCAAAGGAAAGGGACATGAGGTCTGACACTTATCAGCTCTTGACTGTCATATTTGCAGGGGCTGATATTCTTACTACTAGTTTTCTGATGCGGCTCGCTTATTACAGTTTTATCAGTTGTGGCTTGATGATCTCTTCCCTCGTGCAAAGTTCGCCGATGGACTAGCTATCATCGAAAAACTCGGCCACCATAAACGCCTACAAGTTATGCGCAGAGAATGGATAGAAGACGAGAAACCAATAGCCCGGGTAGATGACACAACACAAGATTTACAAGCAGATCGACTGAGCTTGCCGATTGCGGTTCCCACTAGAAGTCATCATGCTGTGGATGCGCATGTATTTTCATCTCATAGCGTTGGCCATGGCAAAGTCGATAAGGAACCATCGGCCGAACAATTAGATGTCCCTGCTCAGGGATCGTTCATGCCCCATGATGACAATAGCCACCGTGCGATCACACAAGACGTTCCTGAGGATGGTGACGAATTGGAAACCCTTTTGAGGGAGCAGCAGTGCGATTATGCTACAGCTAAGAATCCCTCAACTTTTACTGATATGGACGCCGACGGCGATGGATTCGAGGTCATGGAAGAATTAAGCATCTTAACTCCGACATGAGCTGCGCCGCTCTGTAATCATTGTCAAGCGACAAAACCGCACAATCAGGTCCTAATGATATTGAATCTCTATCTAGGGATAGCGTTTCTGTCATGGAGGCCGGTAAATTCAATGTACACATAGGCTAGGCCACAATTCATAACGCGCTACGGGTAACTAATAAAAAGAGAATTTAAATAGTTTGAGATTGACAGTAGTAAAAATTGCTTATTAGACACGAGTTGAAAGAGGGCACCGAAAAATTTGGCTGGATGTGTGGGGAAGAGATGATGATATACAGCAGGTTGCGCAAGGCGCCCAGTATCACTATATGCCGTATATGACGCAATAGGGAGACGTTTAGCACCTCTCGGGGATTAGCGGCACAGTCAACCATCTCACACGGCCACTGGCTCAGTAAATACTGAAAACTGACCACCCGCGCCAGCCCAGTTGAGCTTTTTTCCACGAACAGCGGTGTTTTCGACAATGCTTGCCACCTCAATATCATCCGAAGTGCCTTGACCTGTCTGATAGGTGGCGGAGAAACCCCAAGACCAAGGACGACCATCAGTATCAATGGCGATCGAATGATCAGATCCAGCTGCCACAGTGCTTGCTTTAATTCCTGGAACAGGGGTAGGTTCGATCAAGATCCGCGGTCGCCCACGTTCATCTTTGATAACGGCTTCCTCAGCAAGTGTATCGACTTTCAAACCTGTCTGGAACCCATCTAACCGACCCCATACGAGGCATTGCTCGCCATGTGCAACAGCAATCGAGTGATGAGCACCACCACAAATTTGTCTAATATTCTTCCCTGACAATGAGTCCACAATAGTAGGGTGAACAATAGCAGCCTCGTCATCACCGGCACCCGCCTGAATACCTGTCTCACCAAAGCTATTCAGGCCCCAAGCATAAACCTTTCCAGATTGATGAACAGCAAAAGAGTGGAACGCGCCACTTCCGACATGTATAATGTTCTTGGGCAGGCCAAACTCGCGTGGCTGGAGACCGTTCAATCTATTTCGCTCGATAATGCGACGTCCTAACTGGTTCTGTTGACCGGACCCCCAGGAGAAAACAGCGCCCCTCTCATCCAAGGCGAGGGCATGGTTATCGCCGCATACCAGATGCTTTATCTTTTTGAGTGAGGGAATTAGTGTTGGAGTCGGTTGAACTGTGTGGGTACTATCGAATCCCAAAATACCATCGTTACTCTAAGCTCCAAGTCAGCTAAGGTCTATAGAATGAGCAAATAACTTACTCTGAACGTGCCCCAGCCGTATACTTGGCCATCTTCTGTGAGGGCGAAACTCGAGCTATCCCCAGCAGCAACTTCAACAAAAACAGTACTTTCAGGGAAAGTATCAGAGGGAATAGCAGTTGGGGTCGACTCATATGGGTTGAGAGCCGGATCATCATCTGAGTCTGAGTCGGCATCACTTTTGTTATCCTCAACCTCCTTGTAGCCTCCATCCCACGTAGTATCCCTTCCAAGCGCACCTTGGTCATTCACACCCCAGGTAAGGATCTTGTTATCGTGGGTGAGAGCGACGCAGTGCATACCACCAACAGCGACCTGCACTACACCAACCTTATCTGCTGACAGGTAAGGATTAAGACGCGGCCGCTTTACATCAACAGCGTTCCTTTCTGGTCCAAGACCAAGTTCACCTGAGCTGCCTTCACCACAAACGTAAACGTTAAGTCGAGTTGTCGGGGCATGGTTGATGACCACTTTCGGCTTTCGCTTTGTAACACGAGGTTCGACAACTCGTGCCTTTTTGGTTTCGCGAATAGGCTCCTCAACGGCTTCAGCTTTACGTTTGGGGGGTGCTGCGTGCGCAACTTTGGTAGTCTTTGTGCGCGCATCGCCGCCTTTAGATTTGGCTGCGCCGGCTTTCGCAGGCCGTTCCTTTGCTGCGGTTTTTGTGGCAGGAGCCTTATTTGTAGTTGTGGTGCTTTTGGGTGGCTTTGCAGAAGCCTTGGGCGCGCTCTTTTTAGGCGGCATCCTTCGAGTTTAGGAGAGGAAAATAAATATGTAAGGGGAAAGGAGAATATATAGAACCAAGGAAATATATCGCGAAGGGAGAGAGAAATATCTTACTTGGGGGTGAGGAGAAGGTAAAGTATACAAAAGTAGAGCCGGCACTAGGGAAAGATAGAAACGCGACAAGACCCTAAATTCCTATTGTTGTTGTTGTTATTATTGTTGCTGCTGCTACTTAAGGTAGAAAAATGCCATCGATGCGCTAAACCCAAGTTGTTGTTATTCCGATGATCGGGAAATTTTTCTTGGTTTCTCTGAACCACACCACTCATGAGGGATTCTCATTGCGGTTGACTGTGGGGTCCGACTGCCACTGAAATCCATTAATTTGTACGCAGTACGAAGTAACGTGTATCCGTTACTATGTACAGTGCGGGCAGCATTTCAAAGGTTCAAGCAGGCTGTTCCACTTTGACCCTTTTTCCTGTCCTCGATGAACTGATCCCCATATGTTCTTTGAAAGGCTGCCCGGGGTCCTTGCTTCTCTTCCCCTCCCCCTGAAAAGGGAAAACTTAAGGAATAATAGAGATATATATATGCGTGTGTATATGTGATACGAATACTATTACTATCAAGTAAGCCACTACTATTCAATTGCTGAAGATAGTTCCTATGCTAGATATGACGACTGGTACAATCATCTACATGCCACAGGTTGTACTTACAATGTGTTCATATTAATGATGGTATACTTAGCAAGATTGACTTCTCTCTGGGTTTAGGTGATTTTGTAATAATAGACTGCTGAATGAATTCGAGCAATAGTAGGCAATTGTTTGTACGTATATATATAATATATCTTTTCCCTCCCTTTCTTTTTTTCTTTAGCTTCAACTATTGTTCTTCTTCATTCTTTTATCTCTTTGCTTTTTGAAGGGTACAGAGCTGAAAAATGTCTCCTCTTTCAGATAAACCGTATGTAGCTGTCGCTCTCAATCCACACAGGCAACGCAAGAAGAACACAGATAAAGGATATATAAGGTAATGTAATAAAACCCTCAGCTACTATACTGTGCCATACCTGACCCCAAGTACCCTATTAAAAGGTAGTTTCAAGTTTCAATTCCGCACAAAAACCACGACAAGACTAAGATATCCTCTATTTCTATACGCTCAGGCTCTACCACCATTTGGTACTTGGTTTTATACATATAACCAGGCCCATGGCTATGGGCTAGCTCTTAGATTCCACCCAGTGTACATCTAAACTGATGATTATCAGTCTCCCCAACAATAGATTTGTCAGTATGGTACCTAGCATGCATGCGGCTTACACATAATTTTGATACCTCCAACTAAAATCCCTGCTTCCTTGACCTAGCCCAATTCAACCATATACCCACTAGGGCCTTTCCGAGCAGGAAACTTGTATCTATTAACATGTACCTATATAGGCCTGAGTGTACTCGGCGAACCGCGAAGTAGTCTATGTAAGTTTGGGGCGCGGACTCATCTATATATAGGTAGCAAGTTTTATGGAGGCTTGGAAAATTGTGCATAACCCATGAGTTCATACATAGTTGACCATTAGTAT